AGACTGATTGTGAATGTTTGGCCTCTCCTCACGATAAGACGATCCACACCGTTAAGATCGGTACGATGGTCGATGTTGTTGAACTCGCACTCCAAATTCCAGCGATCAATGTCCAGTCCTTAAAAGAAGAGAGGGCATTTAAAAACACAGACAAACTTGAAACATACTGTATATGTTACTCATCAGTATGTTTTTTTCAAATAGTAGTTACAGAAATGTATTTATTTATTCTTGCAATTGTTCCCAAAAGATGCATAAAATTATATATAGCAATTTTAATATATATTAAATTAAATTGTGTAGAACATGTAGATCTGTTTCTAGCACTCTTATTTTATCTTAACAGGAACATAATGTATGTTTATGGAGTGCTTCAAATGCCCCAACATAGTCTTGTTGAAGTGCAAGTTGTAAAACATATAGTTGTGTATAGGATAAGGGAAGTTTAATAGAATTTACAAGGTTACAACAATTACAAATAACTTTTTTATGGCTTGTGGTGAATTTACATTGAAAACTGTGGTTAACTAACTTCTTCACATTGTGGCTATGAATGTGTTTTTTCATATTTTCTAAAAGTGAACTGCTTTCCCAGCTAGTTCCAACAAACTTTTATAATGACTTTATTTTTCTGAGGGGTTTAAAAAAAAAAGGAAAACGTAAAATATTTGTAAAGGTTTACCATTTGATCATGAAAGTAAATTCAGTGGAAAACTGTGGACACTTGCATTCATTTATGGTAAGGTAATTTTGTTTCACAGGACTTTCTGTGTGGATTTAACGAGAGGTAAACACAGACAGAAAGTCACTCCCTGTGAGGTGTGCAAACACACAACCACTCCTTCTCTCTAGGGCGCATTGTGACTTGAGAGAATCCCACCCTTTGATTTCCTGTTTGTAGAAAAAGTTTGAGTCCCCCTACATAATGCCTCCACGGTCCTCCTGCTGCCTAACCACTGACTGGGCTGCTCCATGACATGTCAGGAGGTTAACCTCTCCCCATACATGAGGTGGCGTGTCAAGGCTGGGCTAGACTTGAGCAAACAAGGACTGAACTGCAAAGTCTTCCAACTGTTTTATGTGACATCCATGTTGGATTATTCATCCGCATTTGTTGGACGTTTTACTGATCTCAACCTTTGTCCTAACTGAAAACATGTCAGTGTAGCTAATTGGGGCAAATGCCTTAAAGATGACAACGTTACCTATTCTGGGACAGCTGGAGATTGTAGTTAGAGGATTATAAGGACATTGCTGTTCAGCCTGTGCTCACATACACATGCTCCCCTTTGAACTGTGCAAGTATCCAATAAATATCAGCATTGCATTGAAGCACAGATGCTTTTTAACAGTTTATTATGGAACCATTTTTTTCCTTTAGAAGAGAGATGAGTTTTACTGTACTCACGGCTCAAGGCAAGCAAGTCCAATAGAACAAATACTGTGCTTACATAATGTGAAAACAATTGCCGATAATAACACAGGAATGTCTGTGGCCCAAAACTTACAGAAACAACACACTAATGGTGCAATGGGGAACTGACGTCATCCTTTCTGCAGTGATTTTGGGGTCTTTTTGTGGCAACATTAGTGATTTGCTCCCAAACCGCAGTGCAATAGCATGTGCCGTTTCAGCTGTAGCAGTTGTGGTGTAACAGATGGTATGGTATGCATGTGTGTTGTAAACTGAATACATTTTACTATAGCTTGCAGTTTAGTCTGTAGAGTTACACAATTTGTAGCAGAACAACGCTCCAATATGAGGATTCCTCAGCCTTGACCCTGCCCTCCCCACTAACCTTTACATACTGTACACGCCCACGGTTCACTCCCACTTTACCAACCATGACCCCACACCACAGTCTCAGTAAGCAGCACTGGGGCCAGCGTAAACCTTATAAGGAAATTAAAATGAAACCTAGATGTGTCAACCGGGTCAGAGCTGGTACAGTAAACACTATTTTAATCCTGGAAAAATAAATATGCAAACTCCCATCAGAAGTCAAAGGAGTTTTCAGTCTTACAGGTAACACCCATGCTGACTTCAGAGCTCACATACACTTTCAATCTCAACTAAATTCTTTGTGAACGTGTAACAGATGGAAAACAGGTGACATCGATTATGCGGCTTATTCTAAATGCAAATTACGCAGTGGGGTAAGTTTTTGTTCTTATTTGCATTGTGTGTAACTGCTACCATAATATCCTCTGACTATGAAGAATATACCAAATGGAAAAGGCATTTCTGCAAAGAATTCAGACTAGCCCAGTTTATACGTTTTCTGTTAAGTACACACTCCATCAGTGAAACGAGCATGCCTTTTCTACCATGAAATGTCCAACAGCACTCCTCCAGATATTTTTGGTATGCTACACATTTTGCCTACAGACACACACAGACACACACACACACACACACACACACACACACACACACACACACACACACACAGAGAGAGAGAGAGAGAGAGAGAGAGAGAGAGAGAGAGAGAGAGAGAGAGACCATTTTAACCTTTAGAGGTGATTCAGAGCAAACCTGGAGGTTTGACATCTTTCTTGTTAAGGAAGTTTCTGAATGTCTCTACAAGAGTTTAAAGCAAACTATTTGTAGGGTGGTGTGTGTGTGCCTATAAAGATAGCAGTAGTTAACTGGCGGAGGCTCCAGCTGCTCTCAAATGCTATTATAAGTGTTAAAGTCCCAGGGCAACAATAATCTCCTCAAACAAGAGAGAGAAGCATTCTTTAAATGCTTATGTCTTCAGATCTCTGATTAATGTGTGCTTAACAGAGTTACTGCTGCATCATAGAAACCAGCTCATACTGGGTGATGATATGTATATATGTGCAGCCTGTGGTGACTTTACAGTTGTCAGCTTTGTTAATCTCAGGCATGTCTACAGCATGCCTAGTGACAACAGTGCCTACACTTGGTGAAAGTTTTCCCTTTACATTTAATGTTGCATTAACACAAACACCCATATAAGGAAATAGTGGGAAGAAAAACATCAATAAAAGTAAAATAAATAAATCCTCAGGGAACAGATACAGATACCACTATGAATCAACATCTATGTACTTTTATTCATTTAGCCAGTCAAAAACTATTACACAACTATCATATTAAATAGAAATAAATGGCAAATAGTTTTTTACTTATTATTTAAATATTTAAAAAATAAATAAAAGTACACAGGGTAACACCTTACCTTGAGCCATGGCTGCTGCTGTGTTCGTTGACTGTGTGTTTGGTCAATCTCAGGCTCAGAAGGGGGATGTTGTGTGTCTGTCCTCGCCGTTATCCCCGTCTTATTTGTAGTCCTCCTCGTGCTCGTCTGATGGTGGGCGTGACCTCGACCCTCTCCCAAACAGAGAGCGGTTCCTCTTACAGCACGCGCGTACAACCTCCGGCGACTGTTCCTCAGAAATGTGATTTATGTGCTATTGCGTGGTTTTCCATGTAAATACCTTTACCCTGACCGCTGTATTTCCCGTACCCATATGTTTTAATTAGACAAGATAGAACGACATGTTTGGCTAATATGGTAGCACAGGGATGATGGAGACCATATGCAAGTTGTCATTTACTGTTATACTGTTGCCGCGTGCGGGGAAAGTAGCCTACACGTGCAGTTAATTAAGAATATGAATTAAGTTAATTGAACTAGTTCCGTTATATTATAGTTTCACTGAGGTTTATGAAGGTTAGCCAACACAATTGAGAAGGTTGGCAATAAAATGTATTCCTGGAACTGTCGAAAAAATGCCGTCGAAAAATAAAAATGAATTACCAAGAACACCGGGGCTGTGTTTTATTTTCAGTCGGTCTGACACAGGCCATCCTGTAGTCCTAAATACTCACTCGCACATTTTAGACCGCCGCTGAAAATAGTCCCCAACAAATGCTGCTGTTTGAGTAACATCTGCTATAAACTACAGCAGTGGTTCTCAGACGTTTTTTTAATAATGTACCCCATTTGAAAAAAAATGCCAATACAGAGAAACAATACCTCCATCAATGTCTGATTTATTTAACAACCATGTAAATGAAAAACACTTAAATGATTCATTTAAAAAAAATGTAGAATCCATCACTAAATGAATGACAGTTAACAATAGTATTAAAAATAGTAATATTGAAGATAAAATCTGGTTTATCAAACTTACATTTACATTTTTCTTAAAATTATTAAAGAGTAATTATTTCCAGCAATTATGCATGACTGGTATTTTTAGTATAATTTAATTATACATATTTCTGACCCCTTTTTAAATATTTACATCCTCAAACAGAAGGAGGAGGGAAGCAAAAAACTCAGAAATTCCATGGCATTCATTGACAATGAAAAAATCTAGAATAATACCAGCCTCAACCTTTAAGAAGGGTTTAAATCTATTAGTCATGTCAGCCATTAATCACAGGTACATTACAGTATGTTACTGTGCCTCAGCATGCCCCATAAATTACACTTAAAGTTTTAGGCTATACAAATTGTACTAGCAACCTTTGAAGACACTGCAAAAGTAGAAAAGAAAGGGCTGCTACATGTCATGTGCTCAATATCAACATTCCTCTTTCCACTATAAAAGGACAACAAGTACCAGTTATGCACCAAAACTGCTAAAGTAATGGCCAATAATGAATTTGTAATCTCAACTATGTCAGTAAAAAGTAGGGGATAAAGCCAGTCACATGGTTTGAAGCACTAGGGGCCGACTAATATTAACCACAAACACAAGTCTTGGCTCATCAGTCGGGCATAACATCAGCAAAGTGAATGCAGTGATTAACAGAGCTCTGTCCAAACCCACACAGTGGAAATGACTGAGTGCCTTGGCCAAGACAGGCTTGGCTGCTTCAGAGAGACTGTGGCATACATCACCTAGACTCACTTCCAGATTAAATGATAAATGTGTGTGTGTGTGTGTGTGTGTGTAAAAAAAATAGGGGATCAGTTTCAGAATTGAAATGACAGCAAAAGAGCAAAAGTGAAATACAGATGAAAGACAGGAACACAAGTATTTATTGTAAAATCCCCTTAGGCCTTATAATAAAGGAAACAGTTAAGGCAGCACATTATTGCTGAACTATAATAAATACACACTATTATGCAGCTAATATCACCAAAAAGCTGACTCATAATGTTCATTGAATAGTCATTGACTCACAAGTTGGTTCTAGTGAAATTTGTAAAAGAGAAATGGGACGTTTTCCATATTGCTACATACTGTTAAATTTGTGATGATGGAATTATTTGGCAAATGCAAATTAAAGACAGATAGCAGCTACTAATATTTGGGTTTACATTTAAATCTTCCTGTAAGCATGTTGATTAAAGGACCACTGTGTAAGATTTAGTAGCATCTGGTGGTAAAGTTGCAGGTTATAACCAACTGAATACAGCTCAGCATTCCTAGCATGGAGGAGAAACTATGGTAGCCACAGAACTCCCTGGCCCTGTCTAGAGCCAGTGTTTGGTTTGTCTGTAGAAACCTGGCAGTTCAACATGGCGTACTCTGTGGACGAGGACCTGCACCCTCTGTAGATAAAAGCATCTCATTCTAAGGTAACAACAAACACAATGAGTTCTATTTTCAGGTGATTATACACTAATGAAAATATACCTAAGAATTTCATATTCCATTTCTGCTAACGGATCCTCCTAAGAGTGAAACACTGGACCTTTAAGTTTATGACTAAAAAAAAGTGTTCAAAAGTGTACAAATAAAAACAGATAAAAGCCAACGTCTTTCATATCACTGCAAATATTCTGTATTTCAAATAGAAAGCCATACAACTGTTACATAGATCAATATCTTAATACCAGTAACATATTAGTTTATACAAAAATGTTAATTAAAAGAAAAGACAGAGTGAATGTGTTTTATTTTCAGAGGAAATAAGTAAGACACATACATTGTAATTAAAGTCTGATAAAAATGTATAAATGTTTGCACATTTTATATCATCAGGATTATTGTGCCACATTCTTTGACTACTATTAAATGTAGTATATATAACAGACTCAAATACTGTAGCAACTCTATGGTCCTTCGCATGAGCTATGAAACTAGACTGATTTATGGCACACTATGCGAAGCCATGCAAAGCATTGCGAAATGTATCACCATTTAAGCTTAAAATAGTAAATTTCTTTACATAAATCTGACCTATTGTTTTAGTGGTGAGATTAAAAAGAAGATATATTTACAGAGTGGTAATGGATTACAGTAACAGCTGGTATAAAAGGATGTCTGTTTGAATATTTTCATCTTTAACGTTGACACCAACAGACGGATCTAGGCTTTTCTCTTGGCTGCCTCCAAACCTGTAAAACAAAACAAAAAATCCTCAGGTTAACGTTCCCTTTCCACAGCGAGAAAGATTATTATTCAATAGCTAACTTCAAAAATTACACACACCTAACACCGAAGCTCACAGGTCAAACCTCAGTGGATTTTCCAGTGTTCTGAAGCTGAGAGATTCATAAACACACAACAGTGGATTGATCATTGATATGAGGAAATACAACTAACTTGCAGAAAAAGCAGTTAAATATAGGGGAGTACAGCGATAGCTAATTGACAGAGCAATGGAAAAATCTGTGAGTAGTGTACTATCAAGTTACATTAGGTAGATTTCACAATTTCTGGAAATAAGCTTTTTACTGCACCTTGCCACAGGGCAGATCTTTGGCCTGGTACTGTGGTTTGGCCTTCGGCTTGGGTGCAACTGGTGGTTTTTCTGGGGATTCTGCCAGAGCATTTGATTTGTGGAAGACTGGAGAGGCTTCAGCTTCAGGAGCAAGTGCTGACTCCTTAACAGTGATTGTGGAGGCACAGACCAAAGAGGTGTCCTCCACCTCTCCTCCAATTACAGAGTGGTAGCTGTGACTGGAACTGCTGAAGCCACTCACACTCTCTCCTGAAGACTCGGAGCTGTCCACTGGAGCAAAGAGAAGACTTGATTACTCTGATAAATGGATGATCCAATCAACCAATCCATGTGGCTTAGTGGTAAGAGACATTTCTTAAGTCAAGGGAAAGCAAAGGGTCAAACACTGTGTCAGTAATCAACATCCCTTCTGAAATGTCCTTGGATGCCTTTGAAAAATCATTGCCCTCAGATCACTGATCTCTGACCTATGACCTTGTTGGAGGGGAATAAAACTAAAAAAGTGTCCTCAGGCTGGAAACATGATACCCAGCTGCCTCAGTGAAGCTGGGCAATAACACATTATCTAAACTACCATTACATCTAGTCCTTTAGTCCAGCCTGGGGGTCGGGCTGTATAAAATTTTTTCTCTTATCAGGAAATAAGATTGGGAACCACTGCTCAAGCCCATTTCCATTAAATCATAAGCAATACTCTGATCATACATGAGTTAAGAACATATATGCTTAGCTGTACACACTGAACTCACACAATAAGTTCTGGCTCCCACTCTCATGGTCCAAGTCGTCGTCCTCAAGAGCTCCAGAGGGTGATACATATCCTCCAAGGCCCCCCGAAACCACCCTCCGCTTTTGCCCACACAGGTAACCCACAGGAGACAAGGAACCTCTTCCAGAGGAAGAGGAGGAAGATGAACTGCTTCCTGAACCAACAGATTTTGGCCGCCGCCCAGGAAGTCCGTCCTGTGAACCACATGATCCCGCAGAGGACGGCACCTTGTTTTCTGCAGAGACCAGGTGAGAAGAAGTTTTAGGAGAGGAAGAGTGACTAAACTATCTACTGACTGAAATGAAAGCAATGAATACCTAAAAAAAAACCTGTTTTACCTCTTCCCATCAGTACATAGTTCACAGCTCTGTCACTGATAGCTGCATCACTGGGCTGGATGTCCATGAAAGGCTTGTTTCCAATACCCATGAACACTCTCTCCTGCATACGGACCTCTAAAAACACAAATCATTAGTTTAAAAATATTTCAACTTTAATAGACATTGTCAACTGAAATGTTACTTTCACTGACTTCGAAATGTCAAAAAAGATTTTTTTACAACAGATTCAAGCAATATTCATATTTGCATACAAAGGTGGTGCAAAAGTTAATATATTGTTATAATCTCTATCAAAGTTCAGAGTAGAACAACAGAAGATGCAGCATATGTACAATATAATCATTGGGTATGCTCCTCAATACCTCTCAGATAGCAGTGGTTCATACCGAACATAACTATGATACCAGGGCCAGTGCCTTGTGCTTATAGAAGTCAGGTTAGGACTGTGTTGTTTAGCTTTTTATGTTGAATGTTTTGTGCTTCATTTGCGTTCAAATATCTCGGGACCATGTTGGAAATAATTGTTTTCACTATAACATGTTATCCTTTGGAGTGTTGTTCTTTTTTCCCTGTGTCTGATAATCCATAAATAAAATAAATCAATTAAATGAGCATCTATCACATTACCTGACATGTTACCACATTTTGCTGTAATATACAGTAAGTATAATTTCTTCAACAGTACAACATTTTCGGTGCTTTTGCTTGAGGACACAACCTGTAACCAATCTGTACCCAGAGTGTAACCAGTGTGTGTGTGTGTATATGTTGGTACCTAATTGTATAATGTGTACAGCGGCCTAGACCTACTCTGTATGAAAAATGTCCTGAGATAACTTCTGTTATGATTTGAAGTTATGAAAGTTATTAAAGTTGAACTGAATTGAAACTGAATTGGACCTCTGTTGTGTACTGCCTGCTCCCACAGGATGCGCTCCAGGTCTTTGGTCCAGGCATCCTTCACCTCCCGACTACCTGCTTGAAGTGTGTATGTGTCCTGGGTTTTCCTTTTTCTGAACCAGATCTCAAAACACAGGCCACTGTCACCGCTGTTTTGGGTCAGGCCTATATCTGATGTCTAAACATAAACAAAGAAAAACTGATCATGCACAATGGTAGCTTAAAATATAGCAAACAGTTTGGCAAGTTTGGTAAAACACGAAATCGGCTTTGTAATTGGGCTTGTATGTAGAGTGCTGTGCAATATGTGCAGATAGTTGCTACTTAATATATACTCTCTTGCTCTTGTAATACAAAAGAAAATGAAAAAAGTACTTCAATTTATTTAAATTATTGAGTGAAAATGATATTGCTTCTTTTCCATTGTCTTCAATGTAATGCATTATTCTTTTTCTACATTTAACATATGTTACTATTAAAATATTTTCAAAACATTAATTTTAATGGGATGCATGGGCACAAAAAGTTAAAGTTTCACAAGTTGTGACAAAAAGTTATCTGCTGTATATTCTGAGGAAATGTATTGCGACAAAAGTAAGTTGCAGCATGCTTAATCATAAAAAACATATGGTTCTCACTTGTAAAGAGGAAGTTGTAGTGTGTGTGAGTGTGTGTGTGGCCAATGTGTACCTTGAATGATTGTTTGTAGATATATGTGTCATTGCCTACGTCCGTCTTCCTGGTCTTGCTAAAGAGGACAAGTTCTTGGAAGAGAAAAATGTGGCGGAAACATTTTTTCTTCCTGAAAGTTACTAGGAACTCATCCTGACGTATCAGCTGCCCCTGCTCTTTCAAATTAACCTGCAGTACACAAAAGGAGAAACCACTGACTGGTGAGTAGCAGTTATGTACTGTAGCAATAGTGCACCAAACTTTAAAATTCATACTGTATTTAACAAGAAAAACATGATGATACATGATTCGATTCTCATGCCAGTACAGGACACATCATATTATACAATATATAATATATTATTCAACATATTATGAACTTAGAGTGGCAGCGAAATCATGAAGTTCATTAAATAACCAACAGAATCCTTATGAATCCAGCTCCATATCATAAAGCTCTAGACCATCATCCCACATAAACAACACCTCCCTTTACATTCCAAGATTAAATATGAAAAAATCTTCTTTTCCTGTTCATCCATGTCAGTCCATCCCAGCACATCCCAGCACATCCCAGATTATTCATGATGAACGGTATTGCACAAAGCCAAATATGCATGATAAATGTTTCTACTCCTTACCCCCACTACACATCATGCTTTTGGATGTCAAAGTCTTGCCTGTACCTGTTTCCCTATTCTGCTTTCCCCATCACAGGAGAGATGCCAGTGTTGTTGCTCAATACTTGATGAGAGAGTAAATAAGTAATTCATATCACTGTAAAGAACATACCGTATCTATACCTGTGTATGTATGCACTGTATATAAGACATCCTGTTTAAAAATCTTGAGCTTGATATCAAACTGTCTTACGTCGCAGTGGTGGATGGCGTCCATGGCCAGCAGGTTGTTGCCGTGGCGAAGCTGGAAGTGGATGACCTCCAGGGCGGCCTTGACCTCAGCCATCTCTCTGTTTTGTCCCGGACCACACTCCCTCATCATGTCCTGCAGCAGCAGACTGTACTTACTGATCCGCTGCACAGGCTTCAGCAGGTACGACCACAGGTCCATCTTATCCCCCAGCTTCAGCTGCTTTTGCTGGTGTATGAGGAGAAGAGATAAATGTACTGCTAAAGCTATCAGGATAATGCTACAACTGAGCTGGAGAAAATGTTACTACAGGGTTCCCACTCTTTTTCCAGGACATTTCAAGGAGTTTTTTGTTCTTATTCTTATTCTTCTACAGTACAGAACAGAACTTGCTCACAATTGGTAATTATATTACCATTTACCGGTAGGCCTAGTATTGAAACATTTACCACATTTGTATTCCTTCTTTTAAGCCCTTAAGCAATAGATAGATTTTATCTTTCGTAAAAAATTCATCTTCGCACATATTAGCCTATTAAAAGAAGTAGAAAGTGTTTGTTGCATGTACAATTAACATTGTTATGCATGTATTTATCAACCACAACAACAACTGTGAATTTGACAATTCATAGGCTCTACAGCATTTCCACTGGGCTTTTCTGAGAATTCTGCTTGTGGCTTTGGAAAAATTAAACTTGACGCTGATTCTGATGTGATCCGTTCTGGGTCTGGTGTGAACAGCTAGATTCACTGACATGGGAGCCGAAAGGAAAAGGGAGCATATTTGCGTTCCTTTTTGAGTCAGGTAAACCTGCTTTGAAGTGTCCTACCACAACCGGAATTTTGTACATTTATTGTGCCCAGAGGATTGTGTCCTACTGACTTTGGTGAACCTCATCTCCTCTAGCGCCAGCCATGAGGTTGACATCTTTGTTTTTTTAGTGGAATATTTTGACAACTATTATTGCCATGAAATATGGTGCAGATATTTCTGTTGCCCACAAGATGAGTTCAGGTCAAGGTTTTCTTTTGTCCAATGCTTTTGTTTGCGGCAAAATACTTGCAGAATGACATTTGGCGTTCAGCTGTACTTTGTGTTAACTTTGTGTGCTTAACACATGTTAGCATTGTCACTTTGAGCATGTTAGCAGTGTGTGTTTAGCTCAAAGCATTGCCCTGCCTAAGTACAGACTCACAGAGCTGCTTGCATAGACTCTGACCTTGTTAAAATACACCATCCTCCCTCGTGTGGAGAAAAAAAAATTATATGGTTTAAAGAGAAATTAAAGAACGAAGAGCACAGGGAGGCTCTCACCTTGAAGAAAGCCTGTCCATGATTGATGAGAAGACTATCAGACTGCGGTTTGTTCTTGCTGTAAAGGGCATACAAAGCAAAGCTCTCTCTCTAAAAGAAAAAATAAAAAATAAAGACCATTAGTCACCATCATTACCACCAACAAAAAAATGCATGTAAAATGCAGAGTCTGCAGCCAGTGCTACTGGTTGCCAGCATACTCCTTATTTCCAAATAATATGTGACATCAAGACTTAAGTTGTTATCTCTTGGATGCTGTCTACAATCAGGACACATCTGGAAGGGCTTTTGTTTGCAATAGATTATGCTGAATTTTTGCAGTTTTGGTTCAAAACAGGAAACCCTGGACCACTACTTGACATAGCATCTACTCACAAAACCTGGTTGTGCCATGGAAACAGCAATTACTCAGATTTGAGAAACAAAGTGCACCACACTTGCAGATCAAACAGCAATTCACATTCAATACTTTTGTGCACTGTCAACAATACATGTGGCACCTACATGTCGAAGGAAGCAGCGTCCCACTCTGAAGGGTTCGTTCATGCAGCTCTCCAACTCGTTCAGGAAATGATGACGGTGGAAGTCGTGCAGTTTTTCTAAGTTACCGAAAATGCTCCCCCTCTGGCCCCTGAGGTCCTGAGGGACGTCAGCCCTCTCCAGCTCGGGAAAGTAGTGTTCTCGAACGTAACCCAGAGCCTTCACATACTCCCTCTCTGTGGACAGCAGCTCATCCATGATCCTCCGCAGCTTCCTGTTACACATATAGGAAATGAAAAATGCATAAATCATTGATTTCATTCAAGCTCATAACTAAACCCAGGTTAGCTTGGGATCACACTTTAACATTATTTATTTGTGGGTATGACGGTATTGTTGGTGAACAACTGTGCCATTCATGAACATAACCTGTGTCATTTCTGATTTCCTGGACAGTATCTCAGTAAGCTTTAGATTACAGCTGGGGGAGGGGGGTGTTACTTACAAAACATTGCTGCTATTGTTTTCTGCTGGTGTGAGTAATGTCTCTGGGGTCTTTAAATCTTTAGGAGTCTGGGTGGAGACTGTGCATCCTTCAGCCTCTTCTTCATTACTGTCTCCTTTTGACTCGCAGCTCAGGTTTCCTGACCATAAACTCTCGTTATGGGAAATGGGCAGATTTTGGACGGGCTGCAGATTTTGTTCCAGTGGATGTGTCTTGCTCTGACAATGTTTGTGTCTTACATTCAAAGGTGAAAAGCCAGAGATGCTCGTCAAATGAGGGCTCACATATGAGCCCTCGCTCAGAGACCGACCCAAAGGTCGGTGCAATGGAAAACCATTGCCCCCCTCAACTAAGTCTGTGCTCCTCAGATCTGCCTCGCTGTGGTGCCCTCTTGGCCTCCATTTGCTTTCTGAATGACAGTTGCAGTTTTGTGGAAAAACAGGAGTGATTTTCTCATTTTTAACTGGTGCTTCGGGTAAGTTTTGTGCTTGGGATTCTCCATTCTCGCTCCCTTTCAAATCAGGTTTTGAATGGTGGTTGAAGCATACAGCAGTGGTGCTTTCTCCTTCACTTTCTGAGATATTGACTACCTCTTTCTGAGAGGTAAGCTGCTGGGTCAGGGAGCACTTATCTCCCCCCACGTTACTCCTTTTCTCCTTCTCCATTCCCCCATCTTCCCCTTGAGGGTTTGCAGCTGTGCTCTGCTGGATCTGGTTCTTATCTACGCCTTTCTTCTTCTGCATCTCCTCAAGACGCTGCCTGACTTCTTGGCACTGGACCCAGGTTGCATTCCACATTAAGGCCCCTTTTCCCACAGTACAGGCCTTAGCTTTCAAAGCCTGGAAGTGCGGGGTGGAGAATTCGCCACCTAATCTTTCTTCATACATCTGGAGTGTGCTTAGAGTCTGAGCTGAGTAACACCCCTGCTCTACCTTCTCCAGAAAATGACTGCATTCTTTGGCAAGGGCAGACGCCTAGAGAGAAAGAAAGAGTAAGTGAGAGAGAGAAAAGTGATTTTTACCATTTTGGATTTAAAGGTTAACACAAATCAGTCAAAAATATGTAGACAAAGGGCAAGTGAATAAAGTAAGACACTTCAGTTAGAAATGTGAGATGGGTAAAAAAAACATGGTGCAATGACAAAACACAAACCTTCTCACAGAAGCGGTGCACATGCACCAGTGTATCCAGTTCTTTGTACCTCTGCTGAGCCCGCAACATAAAATCATCTATATTGGATTTGAAAGTGCTGACCATAGTCCGGAAAATATCTGTTGCAGGACTGGAATAGCTCATGGCAACAATTCCCTCTGCCTCCGCCACTAGGGTCAAGGCGTACTGTTGTTTCTCCTGTGATAAATGATAAGATGTCAGGTGAAACTTCCCCCTCCTGTATGAAAGTCCCATATCTACTATTTACTGTTAACAGTGCAGTTATTTAAATATTTTCAACTTTGAGAAAAGTAAGGAACTGCTGATATGTGAAGTGAAACACAGACAGCCAAATAAGGAAAGCTTTGCTGTAATACCTTAGACTGAATGAGAAACAGATCAAAGTTCTGCAAGTCTTTCTCAGTGCACACCAGGGTATCATCTGTTGTGTAAGAGTCCTTCATTTTCTGTTCACCTTCTGTATTGAACCACATCCCAGCCTGCAAGACGTAATGGAATTATACAATGTTGGGTTATAGCTTGGCAAACTGGGAGCATTGTATTACATATCTTATTTTTGAGAAACACATAGATGGAAAGGTACAAAAGGAGACCAACTGTCATTTGCCTGTTTATACCACATTAATGAGTTTCAGCTGTTTCAACACATATTTTAGATTTTCATATTGTGAATTGACTGAAACAACTGGTAGTATACCGTGCTAATTTTGGCCTCCGTCTCTCTGAGCCTGAAGAGGAACTCCAGGTGCTGCAGTGACTCATTTGATCTCATCACCAGCACGTGGAGCTTCTCCTCCACCTGGTTATACAGACTCGTCACTGACTCCAGAGCATCTCTGCAAGGAAGGTGAAACAAACTGAGACAAATAATATAAGGTATCATTTGTAATTTCAAGTGTATTATGAAGGTAAATAGTTTCATTAGAATCACCTCAGAAAATTACAGGCGTCAAGTTTTTTGCAAATAGCTAAATATGTTATAAGTAATAAGTTAATTAAGGCTGTGAAATGAAGTGTATAATAACTACACATGCCCTTCAATTGCTTGTTGCCATGATAAATTATTGTGCCATACTGCTGTAATTACAAAAACTTAATAATGTGTGTATATTATAATAATCTGTAAATGTTTAACAAATATACATACATATTCACTCAGTATCAAAACCTGTTTCTTATATGTTGGCATATGTTGGTTGTATTGGTTTGAACATAAATGTAAGATTAATAACTTGTGCAGCTGTGCATCTATTTGGACTGCAGCTTTAATTGTGACTTACAGTAAAACAGAGAAATGTAATGTGATGTCAAAGTAAAAGCAGCATTACCACAGTGCAAAAATACAAATAAAAGCATGTACTTTAAGTACTATCAGAATACTTCAAGTATTAAAAGTACTCATTATGCCAAGTGGCAGTGACAGTTGTATTATTATGTATTATTGATTTGTAAATACTGAAGCATTAAAGAGTAGGTATCCACATTTATAATGTGATAATATATCTTATGTAAAATCTTAAAGCCCCTGCACACCTGCAGTCCACTCACACTTGTGTTTTCATTTATGATGCCTAATTAATTAGTTCTCAGGACAGTGCAAACTGCACTTGATAACTGCAGATAAGGTGAGATTAAAACACTGAGTGATGTTGCTGTGAGGTGTCTCTCGATATACTACACTGACTGGAATGAGAAGCAGGACAAAAGTAGACTTAAATAATATATGGTACCTGTAGTCCTCAGACTGTGGAAATCTGAAGTCCTCTCTCCTCATTCTGGCCAGTACAGCCCCTCCTTCTCTTTGCAGAGTGACCAGTCGAGCGTCTTCCAGCACCTCTTTCATTGAGGCCTTCTGTTCCTGAATGCATTGCTGTACTTCCTGTGGCAGCCACAGCAAAACCAAAGTCAACTTGTCTGAACTGCTCCAAAAAGTTACACAACATCAAACTATGACCATGCATATTCTACCTGAGCAGTGTCTATCTTTTTGCTGCCATCCACTTTCTTGATGGCCTTCTGCAACAAGCTGTCTGCCCCTCGGAGGTCAGTCATGAAAGAAACCAGTCTCTGAAATGAATTAAATTTAAGACTCAGTGGAAGAGAACAAAAATATGATGCATCGTAATGACCCCAAGAGCTTTGAGGTGAAGAAACAGTACTGTATCTGCCTACAGAGAGCACTAAAGGCAATGCCATCCTGAGGTCAAGAGCAGATGTGCTTAGGTGTATTCTGGACCTCATAAACACAAAAGACTGCGCCAGTGTGCTGCTAGCTCTAGCAGGGAAAGACCTCAGAGATACTTGAAGTCTTGGACCTGACTGCTACTAAGACACCCTAAACAACATTACAGTATGGCGTATAACTACTACATGATGCCATTCTTCATAATGGCTTCCGCTTCACAAACATTTTGGATTGTGACCCCTTAAAGAAAGCGTTATCTACTAGTTATCCTTGTCACAGGTTGCATATGTCTATAAATGCTATACTAATATAATAATTGTTTTATTTTTAGGGGACTGAAGATGTATAATTATCCAGAAAGTCACAAATAAAATATGCATTTATGTGGTGTTTTTTTCTGCTTTAAACTCCACAGATTTATCCTATAACCAGTCGGTGGGGTCTTGACCTGTACACTGGAACCATAGTTGTACATGACAAACTTCAGCTGCTTCCCTCTGACCTGCAGTTTGACCTGACAAGTATAAAATATCTGCCCCCTCATAATTCTCAGGAATTTTTTCATGACTCTTTTTGTCTGCAGCGCGGCTACATTCATGTTATTCCCATTACCGAGGGAGTGAACGGAAATAGCATGCTGCACCCCAATGAAAGGGAGGGCCTGAACCCATTGGGTAAAAAGAAAAAGTAGAGCATTCCTCTAATGTAGAGAGACAGCATAACGTGCAAAAAAGGGGGTTTCTGTGTCCCCTGCACCCACTGGCATGCACCCTCATGCCCTCAGAGGGTCCTCCCTGGACTCAAAGACCAAACTAAATGTGGCATTACAGAACAACAGAGATGACGAATGTTTGAATGTTTGTGAGTGTTTAGATAAAGACTTATCCCCAGTGGATGAACTGTGGTTGAACAACAGTCTACGGGAAACTCCAAAAAAGCAATTGAGGAATGTGATACCACAAATGTGTAAACAGAGTGAATATTCATCACCTGATGGAACTGCAGCCAGTCGGTACGACTGTAAGTAAAGGTCCCTCCCAGGTCAGAAGTCAGCTGGGAAGCTTCAACTGTCTTGTTGAGGGCTTTCATAGAAGTCACTGTGTCCATCTTACAGACAAAGACAAAGGCAAAGTCACTCTCATTTCTAGTGTCAAATATGACTAAAAGAGACTGAAAAGAGAATATGGAAGTTGTTTTCATTTCTGACCTGTAACCCTGGCTGTTTTTCAGGTCGAGGACAAGTGTCTTTATCCACCAGCATCACGATACTGTGGACTGCATGGAGAGCTTGCTCCTGTAGCAGGTAGTCAGTAAGTTGAAGACAAAAAACTGTAATCAATTTGACATAAGTGGCGCTAATTGCTTTGATCATTTAGATATGAGATGAATGATTGTCACAGCAAAACAAGTGTACTCTCAATAACTTTTTAGTACAATAGGCCTACAGTGTCAGGCCATCTTTTATTGTAAAAATGGGTTTTTCACCCCCTAGTGGATTTCGGCTACTAATGCTAACAAATCAGAAACTTCCCCAAAATGTAAATTACCTTGTGTCACAGTATTTTCAGATACACACAAGGACTAACCCTGGCAGCATGTTCATTATCTGTGAATCAAGGAATGTAACAATTTGACAGCATCTGATGACGATAACATATAGTACAACGTATACTGAAATTTGTCCTCTGCATTTAACCCATCCTAAGTACTAGGATCAGTGGGCAGCCAGTGTACAGTGCATGGGATCCAACTAAGCCAGTTTCTTGGCCAAGGGCACTGGCAGGAGAATTTATTTGGCTGAGTGCACACATTGCTGATTCTGATGCGTGCATGTAGGTTTGTTGTTTTAACCTGGGCCATCAGCAGAGCTTTGTAGAGTTGAAGCGAAGGCGGCTTCTTCCTGGCATTGATGACCAAAGTCATTCCCAGCTCTCGAATTTCTTTCCTACCAAAACATTGATTCATGTTAGGGCACATTTAAACATGTCTCACACTTTATCTCAGCATATTTTTAGTGATAAATGCATCATTCAGAGGCTTTTAGGGTTATTTACTTAATCCACTTCTTAAATCTGTATTTATCTTTTTATCTCTCTCTGATAGCCACACACTCTTCTTCACACTACCTATTCCACACTTTGACGCCTTCCCACACCCCTCTTAATGGCCTCTTCTTGGGTTACTGTTGTGTGAGCCTACATCAGACATGGCTGCTAATTCTAGCGAGGCGCTGCATACCAGACATTTGGCAGCCAGCCTGGCTAGAGACTGTTGTGGTATGGCTCTTTACTGGGGACAGAGAAAGGCCAAGTTATCTGGTATAAAGGCTTTTTGAACTTCAAAGGCTCAATTAAACCCATTGTAAACAAATGTTGTCACACTGTTAAAGTGTCCGATAGTAGACCTCTGAGGGCTGTGTATTGACACTCATTTGGCAGAGGGTCAGCACAGGACAGTGTTATTGCCTGCTGATATTAGGCAGACTTATTCAGCTCATAACATTGTGACCCTGCATAAAATATATTGTTTTATTAGTTGTAAAACAATAACTATACAAAGGGACGGCCCATAACGGGGTTACATAGTCTGGATGTAAGAGCATGCATCATATAATTCACGGTTTCATCTGGACACAGGAACTATTTTAAATTGTATTCTGCTGCCCTCTTGTGGTCAGACACGTAGTTACAGCACACATGAGCTTATGGCTTTCTTCTGATTGATTTCAGTACCTTGGTATGGAGTGTAAGTAGAGCAGTAATTCACAGACATTCTGCGCTGACACAAGAGGTGATGTCCACTCCTTCCTGTCACCATGGACCTCCACAACTGCCCTGCCTGTCCTGTCCCTGCTGCCTGAGGGACAGACAAAAAGTTAGTGACAAATAAATGTTTTTTAAAAAGGTGAAAAGATTATCTCACCAGTTAGACAATGATTTCATGAAGGTGTTGCTGAATGCTGTAGCTTTGCTTCAAATGTTGTCTATGAAGATTCTCGGTCATAAGACGTTTTTAGATGAAGAACTTTTGACTTTGCCTCTGAGAGGCTTAATTTGCTCAGTTAGATTTTACCATCTGGTCTTTTACACCTTGATGTTGATATGACATTAGTGATGCTGAGGTCCAAGGTTCAAAGTAATTTTTAAAAAGAAAACTGCCATGACAGTACAGTATAACATTATCTTGATAAAGACACAGAAATCATACAGAAAAGATCATTTGGATGAACGTTATATATTAAGTACCTGGCAAACAAATAATGCCGAGTTCAAGCAGACCACTGACGCTTCTGAAACTTGATATCTCAGTTTGTGTTGACTGGGGAGTATCAGGACTTGCAGAAGGAAGTTGAACTTGTGGAGAAGGTAGCCTTTCTATCTTTGAGTGATAGAGTTTTAGGTCTGGTCCATCTGTGGTGGAGGGAGTTTCACTCCTACTTGACTGGGAGTCTGCATGTCAGTAAACATAAACATAATTGTTTTCTCACAAAAAAGCAAAGAAAACCAAATAAATCAAAGAATAATTGGAGTATTGCAAAAGTTGTGTATGTGTGTATTTTCTTTCTTATATTATTTAATCCATCAGACTGTGTCTCTTGAGGACATTCTTCAAAGACAGCGCTGAGATTTACTGGAAAGCAGCAGCTTTCACTAACTTTATATTCTGTCCAGCAACCTTTACCCTATTATATAAACAGTAATTATTAAATTCTTCATTCATGACTCTTAACAGTCCTCTATTAACATGGATGCAGCTGCACAGCTGTGTACAGACAGCCTTTAAACATTAGACATGGGCTCTATGACAAAACACTTTGGTGGCCTGGCTACTAAGCCTGGCTTTGATTTCAGACATCTTAATTGGCCTCTCCTTAGAGCCAACAAAGCCTCGCCTGTCCCTTCTCTCTTTGCTACTTTAATAGTCCATGACAAGCATGTCTCCAGTCAAGATCTCAACATGCCCCTCTGAGGGCATGAGGGTGCATGCCAGTGGGTGCAGGGGACACAGAAACCCCCTTTTTTGCACGTTATGCTGTCTCTCTACATTAGAGGAATGCTCTACTCTTTCTTTTTACCCAATGGGTTCAGGCCCTCTCTTTCATTGGGGTGCAGCATGCTATTTCCGTTCACTCCCTCGGTAATGGGAATAACATGAATGTAGCCGCGCTGCAGACAAACCCAAACAGCAGTGGGAAGATAATTCTCAAGCCTGATCTTTGACCTTTGAACCCTCTTTCTAAAGAGACCCTTATCATCTGCGACACTCAGTGTAGCAAATTCCCTCAAGCACGCAAGGTCACGGTTGAGTTTCAATCAGTATGTTTGGCGTGAATGTTCAGTAGCCCTTGGAGCGTTGTGCAACATATCATAATAAAATGGCTGTGTGTGCAGTAATAACAATGTACAAACTTTGTGTGTGGGTGGGGGTTAAACAGAAGAGATTACAGGAAAATAGGATGATTGTGAAAGATTGAATCAAAAGTGTTTAGTCTTAACCTGCCTGCTTTGCTTACCTTTTTTAGGGCACTTTCTTCTTTCCAGCTTCTGAGTCACCTGATCCAACAGTTCAACCTTCTTAGACTGCATTATGCTGGTGATTGTTTCAGGGCAGATATCACTGTGGCTCCTGTTATTGAGTTTATAGAGAAGTGGACTCCCTTTAGAAGTCTCTGACACAGTGGACAGGGACCTAACCTTAACCTTGTGTTTTCCTGATGGTTTCACAACATCCACCTTCTGATGTGGTTTAATGTCACCATCACAGTTCTCCAAGAACAAATCGGATCCTGAATGCAAACTATGCGTAGCATTATGTCCTAATTGGTGGGAAATAAGTTTCATCTGAACTCTCTGACTATGGCTCAAACCAGGGGTTGATTTCAAAACTGTGGGGGGTTCCTTCATCAGGTTTTCTGATTCAAAACTTTGATGGTCTTTGAGGTGGGATGCAATGTTTTCTGACGTTGGTTCACAGCGGTGTCTGTATTGGCACAGCTCATTACTTATCAAGGGTTTATTACAGTGCTTACAAAAGCTTCCAAGTTCGTCTCTTTGAGCTTCAAGTGTACCCTTGGATCCTAACTCTCCATCTTCACAAAGGCCAACTTCCTCCAGTGCAGCCAGGAGGTCTACACTTCCCCTCTCAAAAGTGACTGGGTTTTTCAGTGCTGCCACATATGAGTCTCTGTACCTACACTTCAAGTCTTGATCAGTGGGCTCAAGCCCCAGCCTTCTCTGGCTGCATGGTGTACAAGGCTCCTCTGCATACTGAAGGGTGCGTCCACAGGGAACACTATTCCCAAGCGGTACAGGTGGAGGTGGTCTGACAGGTTTGAACAGAACTGAATTGGGTGGATTTGGATGGCTGCCTTTCTTTTGATCCACAAACTCCTTCCCTTTGGAGATATCCACCAAGTCCACATAATCCCCCTCAAACTCTCGATAGTTACGACTGTCCCAAGTATTAGGAGAAACCCAACCCACTGGTTTGATTAAAGGTTTGGAGTATGATTTGGGGGGTCGTCTTCCATGGTCCATTTTGACAAGTTTGGAAGAACAGTCCATATGTCTCAAAGATGCTGACATCCTGTCCTGTGCAGGAAGAAAAATTGCTTCCATCGGGAGGGTGGAAGAGTTAAAATGCGAGGGAACAGAGATCTGCTTTGTTTCAGGAGGAGCTTCCTGATAAGTGGGCATGATCTTAGGCTTGTCCAAAAACTCTGGGATGGCAATTTTAGCCCAGGGCAACTTGATTACTCCTTGATCTGTGCAAAGCAAGCAACGCGACAGCGGAGTTCCATGCCGTCCTTCATTGATGTCTTGCAGCCATTCTTCGGTAAAGATGCAAGGGTAGGAAGTCTCAGGGACGGGGGTCTCCTCCACTTCTCGACAGCCCTCCTCCAGAAGACTTTTGAGGACAACACGAGCCGCTTGTTCCCCAAAAGGTTCCACCTGTAGATAGAAGTCTCCAGGACGCAGCAGCAAAGGGTTCACAGGCGCTAACTGGATGACGGTTTTGTCATGGAGACAAAGGGGCCAGCCCTCACAGCGGAAAACCACATCAGAGTATCCAGACTAGAAGAAAATAAAATAGCATTGTTTCAGTGGGATTTTATTTTAATTTGCTTACATTATTAATGAAATAATAATGGTGGGGGGCACTATGAATGAACAGAGTAGAGTTTCGGATGGGATATTCAGAGCCTTAGTAATATATATTGATAGTGAAACATAAAAAAAAAGGTAATACATATATTTTGTAACTGCTATTATTCTGTGTCTTACTTCTACCTCGGGAATAACCATGCTCTAAGTTCTGTTACTATAGTTAACCATTATTTGGGGGGCTTGGGGGATGTATTTTGGCAAATTGACACTATTAATGTCCAGTTAGCTAGTATTTTTTCTATGATTTTTTTGTGATGGACATTGAAGTAAGCACTTAGTCTTTACTGTGAGTGTGGCTATAAGCACTGATATGTATTGATACTCACACATGCTGCCTGTTGGACACTCTCCAGCAGGTGTTTGGAGGGTATGAGAAAGTCCAGCAGGCACTGTAATGCATCACCGTGGTAACGTTCCTCAATGGTGCGAAATAGCTGGCTGAGGACGATGGGAGCTGTGGCCTCAAAAGGCGGGAACAGGGCCGACAGGGCACTCTGGATGGACGAGTCCAGAGATTCTGGGTTCTGAAGGACAAAAAGAGATGGTGGACAGTGAGATGAGGTGTGTTTAATAACAGTATCCTGTGAATATACTGCAGCAATAACAACAAAACCTTTAAAAGACAATAAATTAATAGAAATTATAAAAGTAGACTGCCCTTGTCTAAGAAAGAAATCAAATGTATTTTATTTTGTGATTTTGCATGTTATAGCCTACTTTTAGACCTAATATTATCAAAGCCACAGAAACTCAACCAAACCATAAAACTAGGATTGCAGAGACCAAATGAAAAACACTTTACAACAAATAAATGCAAGAATAAAGCTGCTGTGCATGTAATGAAGGCTTAACAGATCGTCAATGTTGGTGCATAAATAAAGGAGTGGTGTGATCTGCACATTCTTTTCAAATGAGAATTGTATTGACCTTTCAACGAAGGCCCATGAACAATAAAATATTTAATTTAGGCAGAATAAATCTTCTATTACAGACTGTCTTGTCTCATATAATTAAAACAGCTGCCCTCAAACTGAAATACTGCTATTGCGGTTATTTAATAGTATTGAATATGGTTTAAATCTTTACTGAATGGCTTTTTAACAGCCTGTATAATTTCCAGCCACATTAATTTAAATTTGACTAGAAATATGAATATTAGACTGAAAAGGTGAACCAACCTAGCAGCAATCTATTGTGAATGGAAATAGTTGGACATAGTTTGAGGAATGTAGGACTGGAAAAAGTACATAAAATAACCTTTTAATGGGATCACCAAATTTCATGTGTATGGAATCACACCATCTGCCCCTAAAGGGGTCCACTTATGACCTGCGTTTTAGGTTTATGTAATCTTTAATACTAATACAAGTTTTACAATGCAATGTGCTTGTGTTTCAGCAACCATAGTTTTTTTTATAATGACCTGAAATTGTGCAATGAATGAATTTCAAAGATGAATATGTATTTGGATGTGACTTCTTATAACACTGATTTATTTGAAGAAGGTCCACAGGGCCAAGATACGTTGAGAACAAATGTTCTGTAAATCCAAAATTACAGGACAGATATTTTTCTTTCTTCCCCTTGCTGTGCTCATTTAAAATCCCTCAAAGAATTTTCAGTTTTAGAGTGAAAGAGTCATATACGTTTCTGCATGAGTGCACTTTCGGATTAGTGAATTATTACTGGGTGGACCTGTATCATTAAAGACAATGTCATCTCTAAAAAAACTCAAACCTGCAACAAAAGACCAAATTCACTAAAATCTAACAAACAATTCTATCCACTTAACATAAGGCTTTGAGGTAAATTAACTGTCATGTTTAGGGGATCAAGAGCGGGATTGTGGGTGAGCCTAATGGAAAGCTTTTCAACTTATCTGGAGATGATTAAGTCTGTCCTGCATGAGTATGAGCAACTTGTTTCATGTCTGGCCAGGGTATGCTTAATTTAAACTAGTATATTTGTAGCAGACCAGGGTCAGCATCTGATCTTACTCAAAATGACAAGAAGAAGCAAAGCAGACCAAAGAAATGCACAGTTCCGTCAAAAAGACCCCTAAAAATGCAACTGTGTAAAATGATATCATTTTGTGTCAAAAGGCACACTTGGTGTTAATATTTACTGCACATACAAATGTCTGCATTGGATAAGCAACTAGCACCAGCTGTAACATGGGTGAAGTCCAGCTAAACACACGGAACGTTTCGGATGAAAGGGGGCCAACTTTAAAGTATTTTTGAATACGCCTGACAGCATGAATTTGAGGTGGTTTTAAGATGTGAGAAACATTGATTAGTAAAATGGCAAAGCTTTTTAATGCACTGCAAATTTTTGACTTGATTTTATTGCATAAAAGGAGCTACAGTAAAATGACTTTTAGGCTTTGCCTGTCAGTTGGTTGTAAACTGTCCAATAAATCAAACAAAAAAGAATAAAAATAATAAAAATAATTATATGTATGTAGCCTACCTTCATTTAAAGAGTATACAGTTATAAAGAAGCATAGTGGCTCTGAGAAGTCTACTTAGGCAGTAATGCTCTGAGCTACAGTTTGACATCAACAGATCAGCATGCTGCATGCACAGTGGCAATTTTAGCAGGTTTGATGTCTGCCATGTTCACCAACATATTACTAATTAGCGATAAACTCCTAAGGTTAATGGGAATGTCATTGTGGATCATAAACCAACTGAAAAGATACAACTGAGTCACGCCATCCTGAGCACTGAATGACGTCACAATCCCTTTGCCTGTGTTGCTATCCCACCTTCTCTGTGCTTTGTTTACAAAGCTGGTCTGGCATGTAATGTATGCGTGTCTGGTCGTGTGTGCATGTTAGTGCCTATTGAGTCCCTCCATTTCCAACTTAGGAGAGCGACTTAACCTGCTGTTCTTCTCATCTACGTTGATGAGTTAAAGATTAATTTTGACCAAACCAGAGTTGGTGATCACCTTTAAATATTCTAGGTACATCATTCGCTTTATGATTCATATATGCGTTTAATTTAGCCGTCAGACCTGTCTGGTGTTTAATACAGGTGTAGGCCTGCAGAAACTCTATGATTTGCTTTAGTTTTTTAGTACCTGTAGAGATTGAATTGTACCGTTTTGGTCATTTATTCGCATAGTCAAATAAATGTCTCTTTGTCATGAAAAGGAAAGGAATAATATTCATATTGAGGTGACAGCTGGAAATAAGCACTTGACACTTATTTTGAATCTGGACAGGTCTTAGGCGCTAACCACAGCAGGCGTGCTATTCATAAAATCAGTTCACAGTATCCTGCTGTGTTAATCTCCCAACCCCACAAAGGAGTCTGTTTTTAGCCCCTTCCTCATATAGTTTGATGGCCTAACCAAGACCAGAGACTGGCCCAGGGTAAATACAAGTGCAGCAGCTTCAAAGACCTCACACTGGCTAGCACTGGGACTGTGCTGACTGTTTGGCTGCAGATACTTATGTGAGCACCTTGGACAGTCATGAAACATTGGGAACAAAGGTCATAAAATGTTTCATGATTCACAGAATACTTTAGTAAATCATTAAAATTTGATTGTCCTACTCAGTTCAGTGTTTATAACAATGGTTAGCTAAGACTTTCATTTTGATACATGGTGGTTTTGTGTAAATGAAGTGAATGTAATGTGTGTGAAATAAGCTAACGTTAATCAGCAGAGGTTAATGCGGGATGTTGGATCTAAATCAATATCAATATTTGACCACTTATGCTAAGTCTTTGTATTTCCTGTAGACATTGGATGTCCTCAGTGGAAAAGAATGCTTCCTTTTTCTGATTGTGCACATCTGTCACAATAGATTAGGAAATGGAGAACAGAATACCTCAAGGCTGACTTTTGAGTGGTAATGCATCACAGCTGTTTTAGACTGACTGCAGCCATTCAACTCTGGGTTCTACTGTATTTCTGAAAGATAAACCTGAGGTCATATACAACACAGCTCTGTGACATTACTACAGAGCTGAGACATTCAATTTCTCTATGTGTAAGTTTTATTAATGTATTACAGTTAGTATTACTGATCTGAGACCTGTACTGATGATTCCACAAAATGATTTGACCATGTCCACTCTTCTGTAGCTTAACTTTAACTCAAAACGTCACTGCAATTTAAACTAAAGTTTTAGTGACTTATTATCATAACATTACTTCAAAATAATTTGAGATTTGAACCTCTTTTATTAACAATCTGGCTAAGATGACAAAGGAACAAAGGAACTCCTCTCTGTGGGTGGTTTGGCTAGTGGTATTCATATGAGTGAGACTCTCCTGAGATTTTACTAAGCATAGCGCAGCTGGACCCAGTTCAGATAGAATAGCCAGCCAAATGAACTGAGAGTACGGAGGGTGGCTGCCGGTGTTGTGAGTTCTCCTGTATTACATTACATCTGACAAACTGCCAGACAAGATGCCAAACAAGCCCGAACTGTGAAAAACTCAGAATGAATTCTTCTGAGACAATGCACAATTGTGTCCTGGTGTACCTACTGTAGTTTAGTTTGGTACTGTATAAACAGTCATTTTAATCATATTGGTAGTCATTATCATAATCATAGAAAAAGTGTCAGTTGTCCATTTTAACCTATGACTACAGGTAAAGTAGTTAAAACGTGTTGGTTAGTTGGCACAATTCAGTGAGCAAGCTATTTTGGATCTGAATTGGTAAAGAGCGAATTATGACTTGTACAGGACTTGAAACTCAAAGTTTCTGTTTTCGTCACTCAGTCTTGACTTGGGACTTGAGTACAAAGACTTGAGAGTTACTTGTGACATGCAAAACAATGACTTGGTCTCACCTCTGTATGTTTCCTATCACTATCACAGTTCTCCCAAGGCCTAGTTTGGGTACTCAGTGGAAGTGAAGAGGTTGTACACTGCATGAAAAAGTGATGTCAGCGCCTACCCTCTATAAACACCAGGAATACACCTGATGTTCTGAAATGTAAGATGGTGTTTTCTGATCCTTTAATCTCCCTTTTACTGAAGTCAGGGATAGAGCATCTCTTTAGTGAATACTACTTTAAGACATAATGAAGAAAAATATAATAATACAGAAAAGGCAGGTCAGTGTACTGTGAGTGAACTAATTACAGAAAATAATGTGATAGTATAATAGTGTAACATGCCCACATTCCATTGGACACACATTAGTCCATGTTGCTGGTCAGGATGCCAGGCATCTAAAACACCCATTTAAAGTGTAGAGTATGCCTGAAGTATCCCATCAGACCCTGGGACTTGTGTAGTCCCTCTGCTGTTTTGTCTGCACCACAGCCGTTCCTTTTGTTTTTTTAACAGTTCCTCCCATTACAAAAACTCCTGGTTAACCGCAATTTGTTCAGTCCAAGGTGAGCACCCAGACACAATCACTTCCCTACATCACTATGATAACACAATCTTTTACTGTATATCAGTGTATAGGATCTAGCACTTTTTTCCTTGTGTTGACAGAAACAGAGTTGCTACCTCTTTCTGGTTTACTCCCACAATCAGCCAGTGAGGA